TTTTCATTCCTATTATGCGCAATAGTTAAGAAAGTTACATCATGTTGTAACGATATGCATCGCCTCGGTCCTGTTAGCCCTTTGTACACACGCATCCCCACTACAAAGTCCTATTCCTTCGATGTGCGCTAGATGATATGGAAGGTCTTCGACAGGATAAAAGAGCAGCCGCCGCAAGAGAAAGACCAATTTCGTGGGAAGTGTTGATTGGCCCGTTTTATCTCTATTCCTTTGACCCATTCCTTCCCGTCTGTGGGGAATACATTAATTGGCGACTGTCGTCGCCAATATTGACGTTTTCATTTTTATTGTATATATTATCTAGGGTATAATTTTATTTTGTTATTTATTTATTTCGAACATATTTTTATTTAATTTAAACCTGTGTTTTACTGAGTCTGATGTCTAAAAGAGCTACCCGGCACAAATTGGTGCCAGAGCAGAAGTAAAGCGTTACAAAGGTCACAAAAATGAAATCAAGTTATGCATTCAAATTTTCCTAGCTACAGATTTAATTATTACACACATTTCTTTCGGTACTATGTCCTTTAAGTACAAATTAAAATCGTATATAAACCATACGCGTTTAGCACATTTTTTTTTTTTCGATATATTAGAATAATTTACAATTTTGACAAAAAATGTACATCTTCAGTGAAGTAACTACGTGAGAAATCACCGAAGTTTTCGTGTTAATCGATAAAACATAACAATTTTTAATAAATAAGCATAAATATATACGAGTAAACAATTCAGATAAATATAAAGATCACATAATCTATGACGAAACGTTTTGACAACCGTTTAAAAATTTTCAATAATCTTCAACATCAAAGACACTAAAAATTACTTAAAATCAAGTAACACTGTACACCGCTTTGGGATCTGTAGCAAATCAAAATAATACTGACGCTATGTGGGAAATAATTAAAAAATCAATTAATCACAATATCTAATCGAGGGGAGGAGAAAGAAAAATTACTGAAAAGAAGAAATGGTTTGACGACAAATGTCGAAATGGTAATATTTAATCGAACAAAAGGCACATAGGGTTAACGTTAAAGGATTACATGACTAGAGTCTAATAAAATGAAAAACAGAAGTAGACATTTCTTTTAAGAGATAATAATATAAAAAACTGGTTTAACCCAATAGTTGGAAGTTGGAACTGTCCATAAAGTCGATAAAAAATGATGAAATTTATGTGTTATCACCTCATCTTCCAAATTTCGAAACAGGAGAAAGTGCCAACAAAGCCTAATTTCCGCGACTGAAGTTAAGCAACGACGTAGAAGAAAAAACTTGGTGAGTCTTCAAAACCTAATAGAAGTAGCTATGTATACTCCATATCAACCTCTAATATAACAATTATCGTTTGTAAATTAACCTTCTGTTTTCTTCATGGAGTAACAATTGACCGAGTGAGGCGGCTTGTACTTCTAAATGCAGGAAAATCACCATTCAGCAAAAAGGGAAAAAGTACTCCAGGCAATGCAATTTCTGGTATTATTACAGATGCTATTCTTGAACATATTAAATCATATCCCACAAAGTTAACTCACTATACTAGCAAGGAAAAGTATTATTTAAATGAGAAACTTAATATCACTCTTATGTACAAAATGTTTACAGAAAAAGAGAGAAAGAAAAAAGACCTCAGGTAAACACATGTGTGTGAGGAGCTTGTAATGAAAATAAATAGTCCGCATTTGATAATACAAAATATAATAACAATAACGATAATCCAAAAAAAAAGTTGTAGCCGCTGAGAAAATGTTTCATTTACATCAAGCTAGGAAACTTTCAACTCAAATGAAATTTGTTTAAGAAATGGCCGAGTTCAACGAGGACATTGGGTTTATTTCTATAGATTTTATGCAGAACCTTCAACTGCCACACTTTCCGGTGCAAGAGGTTTCCTATTTTCGCCAGGTAACAGTGAACGTTTTTTGTATTAAAAATAATAAAACATTAAAAGCAACGTTTTTTTCTTTACCATGAGGGTAACGGTACGAAGGGGCCGAATGAAGTTTGCTTATTTCTAATGAGGTATTTTATATAGAACATGCTGTTAGTGAAATATCTTCACGTTTTCTCTGACAGTTGTGGAGCGAAAATAAAAACCACTTTGGTTATTAGAAAAGTAGACGTATGTACACTATGGAAGAATATGAACAGCTGATAAAAACTTTAAAAAAATTTGTTTAATTTATTTATGATAAAATCTCTATGTAAAAATAAGGGCTTTAATGCGGTATTGGTTAATTCTGAAGAAGTAATTGATTACAAAAGTTGGTGGCAAGAGTACTACAAAAAAAAACATGTTATGTATATAATCGAGTGGCAAAAATATTCCAAGGAAGAAGGTTCAACTAAAAATAATGCAATTCATGCATTTTCATCACGCCTACGAGAACTCAAACTTGTTTGTAGTACACACAATATTGCCTGAATCATTTTTATATCCCAATGGAAAGATTCCTATTACAGTAGAACCTCGATTATCCGTCTCTCTATTAACCGTCAGGGTCCATACATAAGTTATATTGACAACATAAGTACAAATTTACTTTTTATCTTTAATTTAAAATCGCAAACCGAAAATAAAAACGCAGAGCACAATAATTATTACAGTCAATATCTGTGTGTCACCATAATTCAGTTTGATTCCAATTCGAACATTGATTGTGTCAAGTCGCATTGAGCAACAACTATGATGTTTCGAGAACAACAATTAGTGATTTAAAGGAAAATCCTGGTGGAATTAAAAAGTATACTTCGTAAATGGAATTGTTGGATGGCCGGATGAAACAAAGTTAGACAAAAAACCGCAAATGAATCACTCGACACGGCACGACACGACACTCTGTATTTGTGGTTAGTTCAAAAAAGAAGCGAAGGTGTTCCTTTGTCTGGACCAACTGTTGCCGAAAAAGCGTTGTTTTTCAACATAAAATTGAATGGCGATCCTTCATTCAAAAGAAGTAGCGGAGCGCCGCAAGTATTGAAGTCGTTGACGAATATAAAAGAAAGTTTCAAGATATGATCGATGAATATGGTTTGACACGCGATCAAATGTTCAATGAGGAAGGAACTGGTTTAAACTACAAAGTATTGTCAACGAAAACACTCGCTGCACTGTCTGCAAAATATAAACCAGGATTTTAAAACGCAAAAGCAACGAATCACAGCAATGATATGTTCAAATGCAAGTGCTGACCATCGCCTTTGGTTCAGCAAAAAAAGCACGTTGTTTCAAGGGCATAAATAAAAACTATACCACTCACAACATAATGCATAAATGTCCCAGGAAATATTCGCTGACTGGCTCAAAAAGGTATGTACTGCAAAGCAAAAAATTTGCCACCAAAGGCGATTCTCATTTTGGACAATACACCTGCCCATCCTGAAGCCGGTGTGCTGCGAAGTGATGATAAAAATATCACGTGCTCTTTTCTACCTGCGAATACAACATCATTGATACAGCCAATGGATCGATCATTCGGTCATTAAAACATTCAAAAGAATATACAGAAAAAAAAATGCAAAACCTAGTTATGGAAGAGGAATATATTCTTTGCCAGAATACTGGAAAGCATACAATTTAAAACACGCAGTCGACAATGCTATGGATGCTTGGGCTGATGATTCGGAAGTAACGCGGTAAAGAGCGTGGAATAAATTATGGCCTGAATCACCTCAAGATGAAAATGCCCTCGTGACAGCCGAGCGTGATGCGGTGACAAATGAAGATATGGCTAAATCAACTGTTTCTTTTTGGTTGTAAAGATGACATAAAGAAATAGTTAATTTGTGATGAGGGCGCAAACGGCTATCGATTGCTGACAGATGATGAACTCGTTGAAATGGCAACAGAGGCGGACGAAACTGATTCAGAAGCTGACAGAGACTGATGGTGGCGACGTTGATGATGTTATTGCAACTCACCAAGATTTGCGTAAAGAAGCTAGAGAAGCTGCATCGCACATACAACAAAAATTCATCTAGTGGTATTCTCGACAAGAAGAAGCAAATAAGGTAGATTTGATGATTTTATGTTGATTAAGAAATTCAGTCGTTGCAAAATGTGAAGTAACAATAAAACAAACAAAAATTTCGGAATATTTTAAATCAAATTGATTCGACTGTACTAACATAAATCCCTCTTATATTGTTAAATAAAACATACAAATAAAATTTGAGAAATATACTATGATTTTTTTTTAATGTTGTGTTAACTGTCTTTTCAATTATCCGTCATACCCTTGGCACAGAATAATAAACAATCAGAATGCCCACTCTCAGATGCCGCCTTTGAAGTTTTTCAGCACGCGCGCCATGTAGAAGGAAACACATAACACAGAGATTTGATTTGTGAGGTTATGTAATTGTTTATATTCATCTTCTTCTTTGGGTGCCGTCTTCAATGAAGGTTGGCCATAACCTCAGCAAAATCATTTCTGTCCCTGGCTTTTCTTATTAAAGATTGAGAATCCAAACCAGTCCACTCACGAATGTTCTTCAACCAGGACGCCTGCCGTCTACCAGGACCAGGGTTTATATTCATGTTTAATTATATTATACTTATGTTATTATATTTTAACAATGTTTAAATAATTGCATAGTATGTCTATGATTGCTGAAAGTTAAATTATTATTATGCACACCTCATAAACAACACTGGTTCCCTCTAAAAACATGGCGGAACGTCTGCGCGAAGGAGATGCGCGTACTTAATTTTCCATGGAGAGTGTTCATTCGGATTGTTTATTATTCTGTGCCCTTGGTCCAGTGCCCTGACGGATAATCGAGGTTCCACTGTAATATTATAAAAAGATTGTTGACATACAAAAACTACCAAATTATATACCGGATGTAGAAAATATCCAGGATTATTACAGTGAATTGTTTAACTGGTCCACAACGACTAATAATATACCAGAAGAAGATGAATGATCACACTTTTCGTTTTTTTTTGTGTAATATTTTTTGTTCTTTTTAATATAAATTACAGTAATATGTGTATTTTATTTCATTTTAATTCCTTATAAAGTTTAGTTTGAGGTGACGCTGAACAATTTATTTGAGAAACTTCATCAGTCAATCCAGTTTGAGCTTATTCTCATTTTTTTTTTAATATTGGAGTGAAAAAGTCAAGAAACTGTGTATAAATGGAATTAGGTCAGTTTTTAACATGTCGAAATCTTCGTGTTTTCCTCACACAGGTTTTTGTAGTGATTCAAATTATCTAGCTATTTTTAACCTAGAGTTCCCATCGTTAGTCACAAGTGATCTCCGAAAAAAATACTGAAAGATATTAAGTATATTAATTGTAACAAGACTCATCCAGACTCCGGACTATAAAACGTCTTGACTATAAAATCGCAATATATGAGTATATCTGCTCAATATATAGCTCATAAAATTAGCTAATACCAACCTTAACGGTTGGTAGAAAATCCATTATTGACCAGCACTTAGTAGTGAGCAGTAAAAAGTAAAGGGGCCGTTTGTATTTTCTTACCAATACAGTACACAACTTTGAATTTTTTTACCAATACAGTACATTAGGTTTTGTGTTGTCATAACGTTCATAAAATAAATAAGTAGCTAACTGCAGCTTTTAACTTCATAAATATATATTTATCACTTATCAGTACGTTCAATTGTCTATGGAAATTGTTTGATTATGTATGACTTAAAAGTCGTATTATAAACTTTTTAGTTTTTAAGACAACAAATAATTTAAAATTAAAAACATCTATTATAAACATCCTACTTTTTGAAACGTAAAAACTTCGGTGATTTCAGTACTATAAAATTTTATCTGTACAAATATACAACCTTAAAGTACGACCTGATTCCTTGGTCATTTCTTCCTAGTAACGCTAGAACGCTCTTTGAGAGCCTTAAAATCCAAATCTGGCAATACCATACCTGGAACGTGACTACTCTTTTTCTGTCCTCCTGAACTGTTTGACCTCCTATGATCTCGTATACCTGTCATCGGATTGTTTAATCGCACTGGGTTAGGTACGAATTGGTTCCAGCTATGTCCAACAGTAGTAGAGGAGTTTTGAAGCTGTGGTGGTAGGGGGCTTGATACAAATTCACCCCATTCGTCGTCTTCTTGACCATTAGCCATTATGTTTGTAACTGTATGACTAGATTTTAGAGTTCCGCCACTAGAAGATTGGGACATAGTTGATACAAAACTATATGGTTGCGGAGCATTCATGCCCACATTGTAAGCCTGAGAAGCAAACTGGTTGCTTATAATAGAAGGTTGTAATACAGGTTGGCCGTAGGAAGGCTTAGGATGTATCAAATTAGATTTGTGTTGATTAACGGGGTTCATATTAGTTGATAGTTTGGTTTGAACCAAACCTCGAGGCGTAATAACAGGAATAGGCTGTTTAGCTGGTTGTATGCTCCCTAAATTGAGAACAGAAAGGGGTAAATCGGGACTAGATGTTTGATTTCGGTCTGAGAATTTTGCTTTGTGAATTGGGGAGGGTTTTTGCACAGACACAAAATCTGACCACTCGTCATTTTCAATGGGATTCGGTTTCACTTCTACCTTTCTGGGTTCTGGTTTGAACTCCGGCTTTCTATAAGGTTTCTTTTCCGGAGAAGTATCCCAAAGTGGAAAGTCAGTCCTAAAATAACGTCAAAATGAAATTATCAATTTAAAATTTTATCATTAAATAGACTGTTTATGGTTTAATTTAAAACGGATTAAGTGGGAATAATTTACTGATGACTTGGACTAAATGGTAAGAAAACTGTAATCTGACCTATGCAGTTATGAACGATATGCCATCATCATGAAATAAGTGTCACGCTGGACAGCAGTACCCCGGCTGGAGAAGTGCTACGCTCAGAAAAGCGAACTACATCAAACTATTGAACGACCTCGGCATAAAACAGAACCGCATATAGACATAAAACTTGTATGATACAAGTAAACTAAAATCCTAAGTAACGACCCCGCTTCGGCAACTCTGGGCCTCTCAAGTTAACACCTGACCAACTATTCGTAAATAAAGGTCTAAGGCTAGAAGCTATAACAAGAGTTCTTCACGAAGAGAAAAACTTCCTGGCTACACTGTTTACACACCGTTTACTCGAAGAACTACAAACAGCCATCTGAACCCCGAAGACAACGAAGTTGCTAGTCCGTACGAAAACAGGATGGAATAGATAAAGAATTTCGGGTTTATTGCCAACCAATAGCTCGTAGTGATGACCAAAGATGCAGTTCTCAGCGCAACAGTGCTAAAACGTATCGCTTATCTGCTATGAAACGATCGAGTCCAGTAGAAGGTTCAAAGTTCTCCCCAAGTACAACTTGGACATCCAATATAAAAAAAAAATCAAACAGCCAATTCTTACTAAGGGACTATATAAAGTACGCCCACTCTATCTTTTCCCATGCATGCCATTATTCACGAATTAGTTTTTATACTAGGTCTCTTTTTTTTTACTCACAGAAACTAGTATTGCAAAATTAAGCCGCTTGTCCATAGAAATCATAATAAGTTAAACGAGGATCAACAATTGGCATGTCTTTGAGACAAGGTATCAAAAACAAGGTATTTACTGTAAATTTTGACGTTTATAATTTTCATTGACAGTGACATTAGCTCAATTGTAGTGTTTTTTGGCTTATTTGAATTTTTTTTGGTTTTCAAATTATTTAACTTGTAGTCTTTGGATATGTCATTTGAATTATATATTTTCAAGCATAATTATTGTTAGAACAACTAACTGTTGCTCTTTTAATTTGATTACTTCCGGTAAGTATTACATTATACTACATGAATCTGCCTATAATTCCGTCGAATGGAAACTTATTTGTATATTTTCGAGATTACTTATTATTATTATTTTTAAGATATGGCTGGAAAACCGCTAAATTCCCAAGCGCAGCAACTTGTGTTTGAATTCATATGAATATTTTGAGTTGGAAAGAAGTAATGGAGGACCTTTGGAGCCCCTTACATCTGTTCAAGAGGTAAAATATCAAATGCATGTTTGTTAATCAGTTACTATTAAATAATTATTTTTAAGAGAGTTGCCGCTGCTTTAAAAATATCACGGCGGACAATATTCTCGATAAAAAAAGTAAAGAAAACAATCCCGTCCTAAATTTATTGTTCTGGTCAAAACCTAACGTAGCTGATTATCATGGAGAAATAAACAACGAACTTTTTACTAAGTGGATAAGAACACAATTAATACCTAATTTAGAAGAGCCATCATTGGTTTTAATCGATAATGCTTCTTACCACAGTGTTTTTTTAAATAAATATCCTTCAACTACATCAAGGAAAGATGAAATTATTAGTTGGTTGATAACAAATAATATTAAATATGACCCACATTTTTCTAAAACTGAATTGCTACAAATAACCAAGACTAACAGAAAAGAAAATATATATGTAATTGACGAGTTGCTCCGAGAATATGGTCATGAGGTGTTGAGACTGCCTCCTTATCACTGTGAATTTAATGCAATAGAATTAATTTGGGCAAATTGCAAGTCGTATAGATGGGCATGGGCATTCTAATACTGCTGTTTTAAATATGGGGAATAAGGCACTGGAACAATGTAATGCAGATATTTGGGAGAAATGTGTAAGACATACCAATGAAATTATCAAAAAATGGTATATCCGAGACAAGAGTAAGTGCCTTGTAATAAGTCAGATTCAGACAGTGACGAGAATTAAAATACATGAGTTTCTATTTCGGTTGGCAGTTTATTGTTATATAGTTACCCAATATTTTACTTGTCTTGTTTTAAGACATGTTTGGTACTTTTTCTGTGAATATGCTATGGTATGGAGGGTTATCTATTATAATTATTAGGGATGGTTCAGACAAATTTTTTAATAGTTGATTTGCAAACTACGATAAAAAATTTGCCTGATTAATTTCTTCATGGTAGCCCATTATAGCCGATTTAGAGGGAAATATAGCCTGTGCACCCTTAATGAAGCCATTTTGATTACCAGCATTAAGAATAATATATCTACAAAAACAAATTATTTCAAAACCTTCATGTTTACAATATGATTACGGTTATATATCATGGTGAATATAAATATATTACGGTTTTCCATCAGTTTTAATAGATTTTGCACATATTTGATTCTCATCTTGCCATAAGCGACATATAGATCTATATATCAAGTTTCATCTATAAAAACAAACTTGTATAGTTCTTCATGTTTATATTTTTTAAATAATCTTAAAGATTCTGCTTTCTTCACAGCAATATGAGATTGTTCCATCAGTCCTTGCCTTGGATCATCTTTTAGCCATTTAAAACCAATGTCTTTCAGTACAATATTGAGTGACATACGATAACCAATAAACAGATCTATTTCCTTCAATGGAATAATTCATAAATGGGTCAAAGTCACACGAGTGACAAAAGGAAGAGTAGCAATTCTGATTTTTGGGTCCCCAAACAAAAGACAAGTATTAGTAAGATTGTCGTGTTGATAACTCAATTTGTGAAAAATTTGCATTGTGTCACTGTTTCCCTAAAGGTGCGATATTTTAACATCGACGTACGTTTCATTTAATATTTTGATTTAACTTCAAATGAATCATGATGCACGGGAAAAGATAGAGTGAACATACTTTAAAGTGGGTAACATGTTACAAATTATGGTGCTCAACGTGGGGACCAATATATTCAGCCCCAACAGCATTACAGTACGATACATATAAGTTGGCTAAACAATTATTGTTTAATTAATAGCACTTCGATATTGACAAAGATAAGAAGACAGTTAAAACAAACTTCGATATTAACATAGACAAGCTGAACACGGCTCTGTTAGTTAGCTCGTTTGTTAGATAGTAAACTATTAGTAAGAGACATATACTTTACACCGAAGAAGAAAAGTTTAAATATATATTATACGTTACCTTGCATTTTCCTTTATTTCAGACTTCTTTGTGTGAACCGTACTAAAATTATTATTTACTTTCGCTTCATTCGGTTTGTCTTTCTTCGGTTTCTCTTGTTTATCTTCCAAACTAGGCTTCTCTTCATGTATCTGGTTTAGTGGCACCGAAAAAACTTCTTCAAACCTTCTGATTTCATCATCGGTAACACCTGGATCCGGCCAGTTAATCTGAGATGAAGGAGCATTCGAGTAGACCGGCACAGGCTTCAAAGGCTCTAAGATGGGTGCCATTGGTGTAACTTGCGGCTGGGGTAACGGTACTGAAGAATGGAACTCTGTAAAATCGTCGTCGCCTTCGTTGTTATCGCCTAAAGGTTTTGGTTGCAATTCAAGTGTTTTTACAGGCTCTGGTAGAGGATTACTTGGAATTTCTGGAAAAATATTCGTAATTTCTGGTATTGACGGTTTTGAAAACTCTACTCTATTATCGAAAGCATTTTTATCGACGAATGCATCAAACTGTGTTATTGTCTCATCGTTGTTTTTACTGCCTGTTGATATTGGTGTTAATTCTAGAATAGTCTTGCTAGAAATGCTGTCATAAGATAATTTTTCAGGAACTTGATCTGCATCTGTTTTATTACTACTATGTTCAACGTTTTCGGGAAAACTCTGAAAATCGTCAAATTCTACATCATCGACATGTTTTTCAACAATATCTTTAACTTCTAGGTTTGTCTCAGTGAACACTGAATCCTCTTCAGATATTATTTTTCTAGGCAATTCGGGAGTTACTATGGTAGGCTGTAGGCATACATCTACATCGATATGGGATTGTGTAACATCAGATATGTATGTTTCTCTTAAGGGTACAGTGGGCCAGGAGGGAATCTGAGGTTGTTCCGAAGATTTCGAAGATTGGAATGAGGTGAACTCTTCAAACTCCACGCTTGGTGAGATGGATTTGGGAGCTTTCGGTTTCACAGGTTCTTTGGTCAATTCATTAGATGAATCTATAAAATATAAAAGTATGTAAGTGTGTAATGCTAACAATATTGATATGATTATTTGGCTACATACTACCCTTGATATACAACTAAAAATAAAACTCAATCAATATTTTTGTTTTGACCCTTTAAGTCACCTACAAAAATCTAAAACATGCCAACATTTTGTTAGTATTGTTTTAAAGATTTTTAAAAGCCAGAATTTGGCTACATCCCTTTTGGTTTTTGATTTGTTGAATGTCCTTCTACAAGGACAAATTTTCTTCAAAGGTACTTACAGTAAAAAGGCATGACAAAAATTAAAAAACTGAAATAAAATGAATTATCACAAAAGTAAACAAGCAATTATTTTACTTTTTATGATATATATGAAAGCAGTTGTATCGCAAAACGTGCCATCTATATATGAGGAGCAGACTTTTGACTTAGAGGTGGCGTTGGATTAGTCAAAACATCATTTATTAATTTACATACTCCTAGATACTCTAAACGTAATATTTCACGTATATTTTTGGCTTCAAAAATCACTTAGACAAACAAAACGCATTTTGTCCACTAGCGAGAGACAAACAAATAGCGCTATTTTGCTTAGGAATCAACAGTATCTGATATTATTCGTGCTTAATAGGTTGTTTTTATAATAATAATAGGTGATAATAGTATTAAAATTAGTGAAGGTGAGCATATTGTAGGTGATACAAATAGAGGAACGAGAAAAAGAAAAATAAATACTACTGCAAAAGAACGTAAGAGAGAAATAAGGTAAACTACAGGTTATGTTGTGTTTTGTGGTTTAATTTGTTTTCTTTTAGATATTCAGATTTAGATCCAGAGTTATTGAATTTTAAAAATAATTGTGTTCACAAATCAAAAAAATTTGCATGTACAGATCTTTTGTTGGCCGACATAAAAATTATTAGACAAAATTTCTATGATAATGAAGAAAAGAACAAAAATGCTCAGGATAACAAATTAGCACAGATGATGAATATTAAGGAAATAAAAAGGCAAAGGAAGAGAAAGAATGGTAAATCACATGATTTTCACACAGAATTTTATGTAAGTTTTTATTTAAATAAACCAAGCTTTAGCATCAGTACATATTTATTTTTCGATTACACTTTGTAAGGTCTCTGATTGACTATTTTTTAGGTTTGGCATAATAGCAAGAAAATCTTTGTTTGCCAAAAATTATTTTCCTCTATTTTTAATTGTGGTCCAAGAAGAATTCATACGATAGTGAGAAAAAAGATGCTTGGCACTAGTAAAAAAGACAATCGTGATGGAGACAGAAAGTCCAAGAAAAATGCGCTTAAATTAGAAAGTGTCATGAAATTTATTTCGTCTTTGAAGGGCCATGAAAGCCACTATGGTAGAGGCAAGTCAAGAAGAATCTATTTGTCATCTGAGTTAAACATAAAAAAGCTGTGGGATATGTATAATGATAATTCACTCCAAACAAACTACAAGTACTTTAGTCGAATTATCAGCAATAAGTTTAATATAGGTAGATATTATTAAAAAAATGTTTTTTATTTTTTACTAAGTTGCCCGTTTGTTTTAGCCTTTGGAAGTCCAGCTACTGATGTTTGTGGCTTTTGCATAAGAACAAACACTGAGATAAATATCACCAAGGATGAAGAGCAAAGATTAAAATTAAAAATGGATTTAACTATTCATGAGACGCGAGCAAAGCAGTTTTTTAAATCAATGAAAGAGGAATCTGCTGATAGCGTGACATATTGCTTTGATCTTCAACATGTCCAAAATCTTCCAAAGGCGCCTATTACGGAAGCATTCTATTCTCAGCAACTGGCTTTTTATGCATTTTGTGTGACAGATATTTTAACAAAAACTCCTGTTTTTTATACATGGCTTGAGCATGAAGCAGGAAGAGGTGTGGTAGAAATAAGTTCTGCGTTGACTGACTTTCTAAAAAAGACTGATTTTGACCCAGATATTAAACATTTAAGATTGTTTTCGGACGGATGTGGGGGTCAAAATAAAAATTCCCACATGGTACATGCACTCACCTTGTGGCTTTTGAATAATGCCCCAAAAACTATTCAAACACTTACGACGACATTTCCCGTTCGTGGCCATTCGTTTATGCCAGCTGATCGAGTTTTTGGTCAAGTTGAGCTAGACTTACGTGCCCATGCTTTTATAAAGTCACCAGAAAAATATTATGAAATCTATTCTAAGAAAGGACAAGTGCGCAAGCTGGGATCTGATTGGACTTTGTATGACATAAAACATGCAGCACTTTCACTCAAAAAAGTTATAGGTATCAGTGAAGCCAAAAGAATAATCATAACTCGAGGCAAACAAACTGCTAGGGAAAGTAAAATCTTGTATAAACAGAGGTTTTATACATAAATGATGACAATTCTAAAAAGTTTTTAAATTTAATTCAACCAAAGAAAAAACTAAGTGACATAGTACTGCCGGAATTGCCAACGAAGCATGCTCTTAAGAAGAAAAAACTGGATAGCTTATCAAAATTTTTAGTTAGTCTATCAGGCAAAGAATGGGCATTAGATCCAGAATTAACTTGGTTAGATCCAATTTTGAAGGATCAGTATGGTGAAAATGTAATTGAAAAGGACCAGACCTGCGATCAATGTGAAGATGGAGAAGAATGCTACTGTCTTCTGGAGGACGACATACATATCATATGATTTTTTTTACTACAGATATTGCTTTACAAATACGAATTTTCAGTTCATATTTTGATTTTAATCAATTAGGGAAAATAAAACCACATTTTGTCCTTCAAAGACAATCAAATGGCGTTTTGTCCATCATTAAATTTTTTTTTTTTTGAAAAAACTAATAAAGCTTGTTGTTTTTTATAAATAGGGTAAGTTGATAATAAAAAATTACATTTTTTCATATTTTGTGTTTTATTTTAAACTTTATTAATAATCGAGTAGCAGTTTTTCTCATTTTCTGAAAAATTTTAAAAATGGACAAAGTGCGATATGAAAGTCTGCTCCTCATATACTAACCAAAAATTATTATTTTTGTACGACTTTTGGCAATTACCCAGTTAGTTACCTTATACCAATAAAGTTAGATGCAACAATCACTGGTTTATTATTAAAATATTTCGCGATTACCATTCTCCTTACTTTTTGGCATCTCTTACATCTCCTTAATTTTTTAAAAATTGTTTTGTCGTTTGTCCTTCCTGAAGGACGTCGATGTTTACAACAATAGTCATACAAATTCTACGTGTAAATAAATCACACTTGCATGAAGGTTGGAGAGTTAGTGAGAAACTCACGTAATCAATGTAATCATGTATATCATTGGTACTGTGTTCGCTCCTATGTAGCAGCATTATTCATGAATGAGTAAATAGTGCTTCTGCAGGTAACACGTTATTTAGTAATATTAAATGCCATTATTATCTAATGTTTATTAAGTTTGTGTCCTCATAGTAGGCCGCTGTGACTGAAAGGGGTTAAAAAGTTGATTTTAGTGCAAGCTTTGCATTTGAGTTTCTTCATTAATAAGTAACTGTTTTATAAGTATATTTGATAGTGTTTTTACTCAGAAATCTTTGGAGCTACCGATACAGTTAAGTAGAGAATACGTAACACCACTTTAGGACGTTAGTCTTCGTAAATGGGTATATTTATTTAAAAAACCCTTACAAGGGCTACATCAATAAAACAAACGTTTTCGGACCACACAGTCCATCATCAGGTTTTAAAATTGAAAAAATGCCTAAAAATAAGTATAAACCATTTAGTTAAAACAAACGTGATTATGAAATTTTGACTATGGTTGAAAAGCAAAAGATGGTTATACTTACTAGGTCACAATGCCTGAGCCACCAAAATACTACGGTAAAAACCCTTTAAATTACATTTAGTTAAAAAAGATTATACATTGTGTTGTAAAATAACTGTGATGTTCAGTATTAAATTAAATTTGGCTAGAGGTAACACATGGCTGAAGCGAGTTCCAGAGCCGGTGAGAGAACCTCTACACGCGGAGAACAGCTGGAAACTGATTGACAAGATACTTATGAAGGATGTCGAAAACAAAATGTCAATGTAACAAAAAACTATATTAGTTGTACATAGTATTACTACAGCCAAAAGATTCAACAAGTTTTGATGATTTTAAAAATAACAGTAATCTAGGTGTTGGGATTTAAAAAACTTTTTTATTTATTAATTTAGGGTATAAAAGATGTGAAATCAATGATGGTTTTATAGTCATGATTAATAGAATGACCTGTGTCTTAGGCAACTTATGTTGCTTTTTGTCATATGGAATGTTGTCTAGAAGTGTATTTTATGTTGGATTAGCTTATATATATGAAAATTATCCTTTTATGTTTATCACATCTAGGACAAGGTAAAAATTAAATAACAAATATTTGAAGCTAATATCAGACCTAATATTTAAATGACTTTATTTAAGACTGTTCCTATGGTGAAAAAAAATTAATAAAATTGAGTTTAGTAAAATGGAAATCTACAGGCTGAAGAAATTAAAGTAATAACCTATGTGATTGAATTTAAAATTGAAGAGGCTGGGTTCCTCAGAGACTTAATGAGAATAAAAGTAAAGGAAATGACTGAAGAAAAGGAGGGGGGGCGGTTAAAGGAGAAAAGGAGTTAATCAACAATTAGAGATAATAGGGGTCCTTTATACTTAAAGTATCTAGCACCCTGAACAAAATCTATTTTGGTGGTATTAAATTCAGTTTGTAGAAACTAAAATTTGTTGTATAAGTGTGCTACTAAGTTGTTGACCGAGAAAAGGTGGACAATGGTAGATAAGGATTCTTTGTAATATGGTAGATTATGAATTTTGATAAATTGTTAGATAATGTTTGAATGATTACTAAGTTAAAACTATTGGATACATGTTTGATATATGAATTGACCAAGAAATAATGAAAGAGAAAAGAATTGACAGGAATGTGATGTAGAAGTGAAGAGTGGATAAGATGGTGATACGTTGGTATGATAGATATGGATGGT